GCCACACTGGTTTGTCGTCATTATCTGCATCGTTTTTATGTCTATATTCTGATTTACCTCATTTTGTATTTTGCTTGGTGTGTTACCTGTTGTTTTGTCTGTACAGCACTTTGGTTGGCCTTGTCACTGTTTTAAGTGCTTTATAAATAAAGTGGTATGGTATGGTATTTCATACTGGTGACAAGTTTCTCTAGATAGGAGAGAGAAATAGGCTCCAAACGATCAAAAACAGCAGGACAGGGGACCGGGATGGAAGGGTCAAGGGATGGAAAAGAGATACAGGCCCTAGTGTTAATAACCTTATCCAAGAAAAAATGAAGAAACTTATCACAAAGTTCTCTGGATGCTTCAAGAGGGACCGGTTCATGTGCATTGAGGACAGTGTTGATTGTATTATAAAGAACACGGTGGTTGTGAGAGTTAGCAGCAATAATGTCAGAGAAATATTTTACTTTGGCTGTTTTCACAGCACGTTGATATCGACGCCAACTCTCTCTCAGGATATCAAGAGACTTGGAGTTTGTCCTTTCTCCACTTGGGTTAATTTCTCCTGCATTCCTGTCTAATGGCACGGGTCGGGTATGGCCACTCAACCATGGGTCTGATCTTGGCTTTGATCGCCAGGTTTTAATCGGGGCCACATCATTCAATACAGTATTGCATAAAGAGTCAAAATATAAGGAAAGCTCCTCAGTGCTGAGACACAGAGAGCTGTGACTCTAAACGATTAAAGACAGTGGAGAAATGGGCAGCAGAGGACGAGTTAAAAACACGGCAGCGTCGAGCAGGAGCACAGGACTTAACAGGTATAGAAACAGGAATAAAATCAAATAAAACAGACATGTGGTCTGAAAACAATGCATCACCAATTTCCAAGTTAAAAATAGATCAACCATAAGATAAAACAAGGTCCAGGGTGTGTGTACGTTCATGGGTTGGGCCCTTCACTGACTGAGTGAGGCCAAAAGCATCCACTACGTCTAAGAAATCCTTCACCAGCGCCGTTCCAGTGCAACACACGTGAATATTAAAATCTCCAAGAATTAACATTTGCTCATATTTGGACGTAAAATCACCCAAGAAATCAGAAAAGTCCCGTATGAAGTCCTTATTATACTTAGGAGGCTGGTAGATGACGGCGCACAGAAGTGGAGGAGCGCAGCCCAACTCAAACATGCTCAGTTCAAAGGTAGAAAATGCAGTCGGCTGCTTACAGTCAAAACTTGATTTATAAATAATCGCCAAACCTCCTCCACGACCCAAGGACCTTGGGGTATTAAAGTATGAGCAGCCTTGGGGTAATAGTTCTGAAAAAACACTGGACTCAGGCGGAGAAATCCAAGTCTCAAATCAAGGTAAAGTCAGGTCCTCTGTACAGATTATTATTGAAACATTTCATCTTTCATCCAAAAGACTTCTTCAGTCCCAGGAGCTGCAGTAAACTCAAGTCTTATAAGTAGTAGTAGATCTCGTAGTGGATCAACCAGTTTGTTGTTGACATCCAGAACTAGCTGTTCACATGAAAAAGAAGGACCATCAGCCCAACGACCAACCGTTAGTGCTCTGATGGCCACTTGCTATTCACAGAGAGCTGAGTGATACTAGCAATAACAGCAGTGACAGAGGAGTGAAGGAGGCCATCTTTGTGAAGAGAAACCGTCCATCACTAAACAGGGGCGGAGCCTTCGTGTTCAACTGCCCCCTTCTTAAATTGCTGTTATTGCTAGCATCATTCAGCCGTCTGTGAATAGCAATTGGCCACCAGAGCACTAACGATCGGTTGTTAGGCTGATGGTCCTCCTTGACCATGTGAGCAGCTGGTTCTGGATGTTAACAAACAGATCGATCCACTATGAGAAAGTGCTATTTATAAGACTGTCTTTTGTATAAAAGATTAAATGTTTCGACAAGAATCCATCCAGAGGACCTGACTCCACCTGGTTACATTAAAAACTCACGTTTAGTCATATGACAAAATATGGTTTGCATATTTTTGAATTTACATCTTGTGACGTTGAATTTCCAAACTGCACTTTAAATAAACCAGAACAGATTTAGTGTTGGATGTGTCGTGTGCCTCTGGAATAAATACTTGGTTAGAATAAGGAACACAAACTCACATCAGTGTTCGTTAAAGCCCAACTGTTCCTCAGAGCAGTAAATGTTCCTACACATGGAAAAAAAAACCGCGTAGTCTTTCATTAAGTTTTATTTTCATTTAGTTTCACAGTCACAAAACAACAGAGCCTGTAAATAATAATAATAATAATAATAAAATAACGAAACTTCAGCTGTGATGTATCTGGACTGTACAATGACAGAGATGCACACAGTTCCATTATTGCACATCATCCTGCTCCAGGTTCAAGTTTCCATTAAACCAACTGGTTCTAAAGAGATGAACAAAACAAAACCCCAAACAGATAAAAACAGTTTGTTTCCAGTTCGCAGCAGAGAGATGGTGTGTGTGTCATCAGTAATACTGAGGGTGGGGGTAGGCTCCTCTGACATGAGGCATGGCTCCTGGGATACTGCTGTACTGGTAGGAGTCCAGGGACAAAGTGGAGGTGCTGGGCAGAGGAGAAGTGTACTGAAGGCTGTGAGGATGAATGTAGGAGGTGGGGGCCTCAGCTGATGCAGCGTGATAGCGAGGGTAGGGCCCCGGACGGTAGACCTGCAGCTCAGGGTAATGCAGGAAGCAAGAGGCCATGTTGGCCTGGCAGGCGTGAGCCAGAGCGTCCTGCACCATCCTCTTCATCTTCATCCTCCTGTTCTGGAACCAGTTTCTGATCTGAGAGCAAGAAATCAAACAAGTTCACTCAAAAAGAAGAGCTTCACGGTGCCCAACGTTACATTTAGGACGAAGATTTACAGAAAGATCTCAATGAAACATGAAAAACGTAATAATAATTTAAAAAAATGTACATTTTATTTTCATCCTGTTTTTATTTAACCTTACAGGAAAGTCTGGCTGAGCCACGAGGACTCGTTTTCAAGAGAGACCTGTTTGGGAGCAGATGGTGGGGGTAAGGGCTTTGCTCAAGGGCCCAGAGTGGGTGGTTTTGGTTTCAGTGTTAAGAATAGGAATCAAACCTTCACCTGTTTGTCGGACAGGTTGAGCTTCTTGCAGAGCTCCATCTTGTCCTGGGTTCCCAGGTACACGTTTTTCTTGAACATCCTCTCCAGGCTGTTCATCTGCTCGGCTGTGAACGCCGTCCGCTGCCTCCTGCCCACTGGTGGTGATGGTGGCGACGTGGGGGTGCAGTTGGAGTGGGTGGAGGGTGACAGGACCTGACCCCCTTCGCTCTCGTAGCCAGAGGTCTCCTCCTCTGTCCCGCTGCTGAAGCCGCTCTCCGTCACTGGAAACGCAGAGAAACACAAATCCAGCTCAACAACGAGCAGAAGAACGTTACTTTCCCTGACACTGACAGAGCTACAGCCGTCAGCGCTGTCCCATAATCTGATCTGAGGCCAGCTGCCTCCTGGGGCAGCCAAACTGAACTGGAATAAAACCAGAAGTTAATCAGTTGCAGACGTGGATTCAATGATTACTTCCTAAAAGTTTCAATACAATTAATCCAATGGTTCACAAGATATTTTGCTAACAGACAAGCAGGGTGGATGATGCCACAATCTAATGCTTGTTTAAAGCAAACGTAATGAGTAAAGTGTTATGAATGACTCTCCGCTACAACCACACCAAATCTGAACAGGAAATAATAATAATAATAAAAAAAAGTAAATCAAGTCATGTTGTTTTTGAAGGTTAGTTAGCTCTGGTGGCCATCTTGAATTTAGCTGGCTCCAAAAGGAAACAGTTTGTCTAAGCACCAACTGATAATTATTACCGGAGTGTTTCATAAAAACCCATCCAGTAGTCCAGATGTTTTGCTAACAAACGGGGTTGACTCCTAATAGAATTTGAACAACGATCTCGTGTTAGCGCTCAGAACATGTTGGGATTAATTTTAGCTCCCGCACCAACGCATGGCACAGTCTCTAAAACTCTCAGTCTGGATTATTTAAGATTAACTTCATTTTTAAACCATATTTCTAAGCAGCTCCTGCGATCAGGGACTCCTCCACGATGATCGTCTTTGATTCTACTGTGCACTGCAGGTAAGATACTGACTACCTGCACAGAAACCTACTTTTAAATAATTTGAACGCTAACTTATAAGTGAAACTTTTTATTACTAAGAAAAACTCAAAGTTATGATAAATACATTTATGAAAAGTGTTATATGAAGTGTTGTTACCAATTTAAAACATTTGATTTGTTATCATGATTTAAAAAATGAAAATAAATTAAACAGTAAGTCAATATATTAATGCAATCTTATAAACAAAATTCAATAAAATTAAAATACACAAAAACCCTACATATAATCATAACGTGTTATTTTTAATTTTCTGTCTTGTCTGTAAAAATGTTTCGAGTTAAAAGTTTTAATAAGATGAAATTTGACAACCAACCAATTAAAATTAAGTAGTTTATAAAATTAACTTGGGAATAAAAGATGAAGGTTGATTTAAAGACATTAAAACATTTATTAATTAATACGACAACAAGGCGATCCTGGTTTTGACCAGTTCTAAAGTAACGTGGGTCCGACAACATCTGGAGTCAGACCCACTGAACATAAAGGAACCCGACAGTGTGGTAGTAGCTGAGAGTCATGAAGCTGATGATGTCTCACCTTGAACGCTGGAGGACGTTCGGGACGGACTGTTCTGGTGGGACGGGTCCAGGCCTTGATGCTTGTCTCGCTGCTCCAGTTCAGGGAAACTTCCAGACTTTTGTCTGCAGTAAAAACCAGGCAGAGTCTCTGAATGTGTCCCCCAGGCTGCGGGCCCGGGGGCCGCGGGCCCGGGGGCCGCAGGCCCGGCTGACTGGCTGCTCTGAGCCATCCACTCGATGGAGAAATGTCCTCTCATGGCTCCAACACAAGAGCAGGAAGAATCATCCAGTGTGGATTTTAATGGTGGTGGTGGGGGGCAGGGGGTAACAGTTTGTCCAGGATGTAGCCAGAGGACACCCTTCTCTGGAGTGTGCAGGTAGAAGTCAGGGGTCAGGAAGTTCTGGTTGTATTTATAGCAGACCTCCCTGCTCATCTCAAACTGAAGATCAAAGCAGACCCCCCCCCCCCCCACACACACACACACACACACACACCTCCCCCTCCTTCAGTTTTCACAACTGGAGTAATTAAGAAGTCCTATTCAGTCTCAATGAGACTGTTGCAACAAGGCTCCACTGAGTCTGCCCCCCCCCCCCCACACACACACACACACACCTCCCCTTCCTGCCTCTGAAGACTGATAATACTCACCTCACCCCAAACCATCTCTCTCTCTTCTACGGCCACATCCATATGTCATAATGGTGAAAAGCAACAGAGGACACTCAGGATGCTGGGGGGGGGGGGGGGGGGGGGCACGCTCCTGTGGGTCAAAATAAAACATTTGAACTTAAAATAAGTCAAAATAGAGTTTTTCACGAGTTTTGACAGCTGATCACAGAAAAACTTTAAAAAGGGAAAATATCAGTGATCCCTTCTGTCAAGTTTCAGGTGTTTATGAAAAACATTTACCCAAATTAATATAAAATATAATAATATATAAATAATATAAAATATAATAATATATAAATAATATAAAATATAATAATATATAAATAATATAAATATAATAATATATAAATAATATAAAGCACAAGAAGTCACATGATGTCCAGCCTTTGTTAACAGCAGACTGAGGCCGACTGATGATGAGAACTGTGACAGTCACGTCTCTGGACGGTTTCTTTTGTTGAAACGACGACAAAATGTCGTTGTTTTGCTCAAAGCTCGAACAACGTCATGCTGTCACACAGAGAAATGGTTGCGGACGACTCTCAGCTACTACCACGTCGAATTTTAGCCCAATATCTGGAAAACTGACTGAATTATAGTCGTTTCATGTTTTTAAAGTCACACTGCAGTGGCAGCCATCTTGAAGTGGGTTTAACTCCAAAAACAAATTAGTTGTAGATGAACGTTTCTGAAAGGTTTATTCAAATCAGTCCGGTGGTTCATGTGATATTTTGCTAACTCATAGATAAATTGACTCCGTGTGAATCTGTCTCAGCTACTAGATCAAAACATACTGTGAGTGTCTGTAAAAGTGACTGAGATGCTTCTGTGTGTGTTGTAGGCCCACTTGGCTGTGGCAGCCATCTTGAATAAGGTTCCCTAGAAGAGTTGTAGATGTACGCCTTCGTGAAGAGAAACCGTCCATCATTAAATGGGGCGGAGCCTCCGTGTCCAACTGTCTCCCTCTTACGATGCTGTTATTGCCAGTATCACTCAGCCTCTGTGAATAGCAAGCGGCCTCAGGACACCAACAATCCATTGTTAGGCTCATGGTCCTCCTTGAGCATGTGAGCAGCTGGTTTTGGCTGTCACAACAAACTGGTTGATCCACTCTGAGACGGTGCTGTTAGACGAGAAGAGGAAATTTTCAACAAAGAAGAATCCGTCCAGAGGATCTGACTCAACTCTGTTAGATGCATCTGGACTGTTTCTCTGATCTGATCTGCTTCAACAATGCTTCTAATTTTCTACTGATTGCAATCAGTTGTTCAAGTTTTTAATCAGATGAAGCTCCTCAAAAGCTCAGCTGCTCATCAGGCTAGTTAATCAAGATAAACTACTTAAAGTGACACTTCCTGCATATTCCGGTTAATGAGTGCTTTACCGCGGAGACAACAGCTAATCCCGGGATGATCCTCAGATTAAAGGAACAGTGATAAAACACACAAACGCACTAATCACGATTCATCATGATTTCATTTGGCGTCACAAAGAGCTGGTTGCTTTTCAATCAGTAGAGAACCGAAGGATTACTGTGTGTCAGAAAGTAAAAATACTTTAAATTGCAATCCAGTCATCCAGCACTGACGGCAATATTACATTTTAAAACTACACGTTGCAAATGTTACAGCAAAAGTACACAGAAATTACTAGAAAAATGTGTCTTAAGTGTCAAAAATATTATGTTTTGTCATTTATCAGAATATTGTTTTATCTTGTGAAGGGAGCGGGATCATGTCTATACACATGTCTGTATATTAGCAAAATATCTCATGAACCAGTGGACAGATATCATTTAATGTTTCAGAAGGTAACCATTGGGTGGACATCTGAATAATGACTTTTGGAGTTACCTGATTCAAGATGGCCACTGCAGCACAGCAATCTTGGCTAAGAAAAATGTTTTTTTATAAACACTGAGCTGAAACGAGGTGTGGTAGTAGCTGAGAGTCACTCATATGCTGAGACAGGGCAGTTCAGCTGCAGCTGCAAGTTGGACAAGTACAAAATAACAAGCTGATGTCCCCCTGATGTCCCCCTGATGTCCCTCTGATGTCCCCCTGATGTCCCTCTGATGTCTCCCGTCACCGAGGGATTTGAATATTCAACGTTTGTAGTTTCTGAGATGAGTGTTTTTCTGAACTGCAACTGAACAAGAAATGTGAGTAAACCTACCATATTTTCCGGTAATATAAGTCAGTTTTTTCATAGTTTTGCCAGTCCTGTGACTTTTATACACTGAAGCAACTTATATACGTTTTTTTTCCATACCCGTAACACAATTTTTGATCGACACTTTAAATGTTCATTCAAACTGACATGAACCAGAGTAAACATTACCATTTGCAGCCACTAGAGGTGAGAGAGGGCCCTCTAGGCTTTGGACAACTACCGGTAGGAATATATGTTGTTGTCGTAAACGAATAATTGTTTTTTAGTGTTAATCTTGTTAAATTTTTGAAGAACTGCAACAGCGAGTCCTGTGCGCGCTCCCGCAGCCGCCATTTTGTGTCACTGGGGTCGCTGGTGCCCATGTCCAGCAATCACTGTGCGAGGGGCGGGGTACACCCTGGACAGGTCGCAAGTCCATCACAGGGACACATAGAGACAAACGAGACAAACAACCATTCACTCTCTCACTCACACCTAGGGACAATATAGAGTTACCAATCAGCCTAACATGCATGTTTTTGGTCTGTGGGAGGAAACCGGAGGACCCGGAGAAAACCCACGCATGCACGGAGAGAACATGCAAACTCCACCCAGAAAGGCCCCTGGACCGGGGTTTGAACCAGGGACCTGCTCGCTGAGAGGCAGCAGCTCTACCAGTTGCACCACCGTGCTGCCCCACTAAGCACTAATAGCATTAAAATATTACGTCGAACAGCAGCACGAACATGAGTCTGTGTGAGCAGATGAGCACGCATGAACACATCAACATGAAACAGATCAGCAGCAACATGAACAGATCAGCAGCAACATGGAACAGATCAGCAGCAACATGAAACAGATCAGCAGGACCATGGAACAGATCAGCAGCAACATGAAACAGATCAGCAGCAACATGATGTGATTCTTCACAGTGATTATTCTAGTTAGAGATTCATGAGTCTAACAACCTCAGGGTAGAAGCTGTTCCTCAGTCTAGTGGTTCTACACAATGCTCCTCAACCTCCTTCCTGAGGGAAGCGGGGCAAAAAGTGTGTGTGCTGGGTGAGTGTGGTCCTTCATGATGCAGGTGGCCCTCTTCCTGCATCTGGAGGTGTAGATGTCTGTGATGGTGGGAAGACTGACTCCAACATCTTCTGTGCAGCCTTCACCACTCTCTGCAAAGCTTTTCTTTCTGCAGCTGTGCAGCCTCCATGCCACACGTTGATGCTGGAGCACAGGATGCTCTCCACTGCACACCAGTAGAAGGAGGTGAGGACTGAGCTTCCCAGACCAGCTCGTCTCAGCCGTCTGAGGAAGTAGAGTCTCTGATGAGCTTTCTTGATCAGGCTGGTG